ACAGTATTAAATGTGAGGCCGAATCTGCGTCTTGTAATTCGCGTGCGTCTTGAAATACCGTCCAGTTTTGCGGTGCACTCTAAACTTTTTAAGAGGCCAATTTAGCCCTCTCTTCTAAGTGATCACAAAATGCACGTCAATCGATATGTCGACGCCGAGGATTCCGATACTGGCTGAGGCAACAGGGGGAGTGCCCGGAAATTAAGGAGATACTACAAAGGTGTTTTTTTTTTAGGGGTAAACTCAAACTAGTGTATTCTGGGGATTGAACTGAACTAGATTTAGTCTCCCTCAATCCGAGACCTTGTTCAACAAAGACTCAACTTCACACAATTTTGTTCCGTTACTCCTCGATGTTTTCCCGAGACATATTCGCACGGGCGGTGTATAAAGTAGTTACTAGTGCTGTCATTCATATAGAAATGAATGTTACTGCATTGCAACATACCATTGATATGCAGAAGAAACAGCAAACTGATTCACATAGGTACAACAGCAAGGAGTGAGTTATGTGAGACATGAGTGCCTTTATTGATTGGCCTTTCCTGAAAAATATGTTTTTCCTTAAAAGGCTTTAGTTGCAAAAAGTTCATAAGTAGTTCCTAGGAATATATAGTTGCAATCTTGTAGTGTATAAAAATAATATAAAGTACATTCTATCATGTCGTGTATATTTCAAAATATAATCTCTAAACTCGAGTGTGTTAATACGAATGCTAGTGACAGTGCAGCGTGGAACGTCAATGTTGATTACCAAGCGTGCAATATATATATATATATATATGTATATATATATATATATATATATATATATATATATATATATATATATATATATATACGTAGATATACGTAGGATAGAATAGGAGATAAAGTATTAAATCTACAGTCAAGACCACTAGACGTATTATTTATTTATTCCCCGAATCTCCCAACATTACAGTGTCCTCGATGGTTCTCCCCAGGACAGAAGCTTTTTCCAAACCATTTGTAAATTTAACATAATAAGAGGGACTGTCAATGCCTTAGTATTTTATTTTATTAGTATTATTTTAAAACTACATATATTGAATAAAAAAGCTAGTTTCTTCACACTTACCAGTATTGTAAAACTAGCTCATATTGTTTTTTTTTTATCAAATTAAATTAGTATCTGGGGGCACGGCAGTGCCCCCGCCAAGTCTAGCAAAAAAACGGCACGGCCGTACCATACTTTTCTCGAAGCAATTCAGGCCATTTTCGACCCTCTACAACTTCGTAGTGGATAAAACTCCTGAATTTTCAGTAGCCCAGTGGGAATCGTATAAACATGTTATATTTCAAATTTCATTCAATTTGAACCAGTAGTTTAAGAATTGTAACTAGTCAAAATTTCTTAATTTTGTCACTATAAAATGTTGTTAGGTTAGCTAATTACGTAATAACTTAAAACAGAAGGACCCTTAAGTAGGGACTGAATAAATTAACCGACTTGGTATTACATGGATCTCACAACTTTTTACGGTAGAAGAACTGAGTTGCGAGACTTGGTTTTTTTTACAAGATATGTTTTTGATGGCATTAAAATTACGCCGTGTACGAAACAGGAGAAGGGCAGCAGTATCTTCCTGAGAAGTCAAAATAATAACAATCTGTGGTTGCCCGCGAGCCTTGGCTACAGCAAACTGTAACTATGGCAAATATGTCCCATGAGGTAATCTGTGAGGGAGGCAATATGATCAACAGTGAACTTGAGTGAGTGGAGTGAATGAATGCATAGGAATTTGTAATGATATTATAGGGAGAAAACGGTTAGGTTGAATGTTAACAAGACAGTATTAAAACCGTCAAATATCCTACAATTCTAACATTTATATAAAAAAGAGTTATCTATTAAAAAAAACACAAAACCGTTACTTAAAATAAAGATTTCAGTTAGTAAAATATTTGTAAAACGTACCTAAGTTATTTTAAATGACGAACATAATATAATAACATAATATAATGAAAAGTACAACAAAAACATTAAAATAACTGTTTAGATAAATGAAACTAGTTTTTACTGATTTTATCATGTTTATTATTTTAATATTTTCGACGTTTCGGGTACCTATATTTCACAACATGGTAATAAATGCGGTAAAATCCATAAAAACAGGTTTCAATATGTGTAGTGCTTGCATAAACATAAGAAATCATTATTAAAATATTAATATTATAATACTTAAGTCGTTTTATTTGGCACTACTGTTTTTTTATTAATGATTATCATATGTTAATGTATTAAATAAATTTATTTATTTAAACTTTATTGAACCTTACATTAAGTACAGGATCAAAATGCGGACTTAATGCTAAAAGCATTCTCTGTCAGTCAACCTTACGACAGTGATAGAACTATGAAGGCAGTTACAAAGAAATTAAATAAAAATATACACAAATATATATATATATATATATATACTGATGAAACTAATAAACAGAGATTACAACTATAATGATGAAGGAGCTTAGCATAGCAGTTATAATTAAATTTTTTTGGTTTTTTCTATTTTATTTATTTATATTTTTAATTTTACTTTTTATATAATAGGCAAAGCGCCATCTATTTTGTTTTTATCAAACTCTTAAGTAAATTGTATCTCATAGCCATATACAACACAGCAGCAGTGAGGTTATTGACATAAATTTATCTGCAGCCTGCTTGAGCTATTACATAATACAAACCTATACTATTATTAATTCTGTGCCTATACAGTGATTATGTTACATAACAGGCTAGACTCATTATTCTCTTATGGATATGGTTATGAAATTTTAACCGATAAAATTGAAAATATATTCATTGTCAGATTAATAAATAAATAAATAAGACAAAATATCAATCGATATAATATAGTTTCAAAAATTATAATTTTTAACTTTTATTACTTTTTTATATTTTTAAATGGTGGTGACTGGCTACTAAAAAAATAAGACTAGTATATGAATGTTTTTATAAAACACATACAATGTTAAGCAAGGCTCTTAACTTGTAAATGGGTGAATATTTTATATGTATATGCTCAGTGCACCATAATTTAGAGATTGGTTAAATCTAGTTGGAGCCAAATTAAATCAGTTTTGAATTAAATTGAGAATTGTTTTTGTTTTAAATGTATTATAACATGAGTTTCTGCCTCATTGGTCTTGGAGCTTGAGAAACCCATGTCAACCAAAAAATTATTTGTGGGGTTTTAGTGGTCAGGAAGTTGGTGGTGTTCACACCTATGCCATTGAAAGCACCAAAGTCGTTGGTCCTGTGCCTGATCTTTCTCTGGTTTTGTCGGATTGCTGTATTATGAGATAATGAGAGTAAGGGAAGAGGGTGCATATGTGCATTGCACTATATGACTAGTGTCCGTTTAAATTGACCTGCAGGCCAATTTTATAACACAAGTACATAAGATAAATAAAACTGTATTAAAACATTATGATCATAATATGTATATATTAAAGTGGACCACATTATATAGGTTAAAGATAAATTTTCATACAAGAATGTGTTTTGGGGAGACAGTGTACAATATAATTCATACAATCTACTAGCAAGAGTATACAGATATAAAAAAGATAATTAAAACTTTATTATTTATCATTTTCATCTTCACTCTTGAATTTCTTAGCTTGAGTCTCTTCACAGTCATTGTTTGATTCCTGTTTACATAACTCATGTAAATTATATTTCTTATACAAAAAATAATTGTCTACAACACTTAAAAGGCAAATGCCTTTGATAATTTCCACTATAATACAAAGATTTGGGTTCTTTAGATCAGCTTTGTTGTTGCTGTTTTTGAGAACTACTAATTCCGCAAGCTCTTTGATTATTAACTCCCGAGACACACTACTATTGAACCGTTTGTTAAAGATAACAGCAAATGTTGATGCTTCTTTAAGGAAATATTTATCAAAAAGCTTCCCAGCACATTCCATAATATCAGGTAAGTTAGCCTTGCAAGTTGCCATTATTGGTAGTAAACGAAGCACATGTCTCGTTTTCTGCATTTTTGTTGCAGACAAATCCCTTACAATGGCTGTGGTAATTTCTTCTGGACTAGGTAAATTGGTTTTAATAAAAATGCAGTTAGAAGCCCCCGTCTCAACTACTTGAAATCTTTTGTGCTTTAGTGACTTTTGAGAATTTCTCTTCATTGAATCCACTTCACGTTTAAGCAAGTCACCGATATCAGTCTCTTCCTCAGATTCGCTTACGGAATTCTCCTCAGCTGTGGCTGTCGGTGGAGGCTGATCACCTCCCAAATCTGGGTACAGTTTCTCAGCATATTCATTCAGCAAGTTATACATTTCTTTAACGCAGTCTTTTTCTCGGAAATTACATGTGCAGAAAAAACCTTTGAAGCCGGATTCAAGAAAGTATTTGTTTCTACGTTTTCGAAAGTAAAACTTCTTCTTTTTCCTTGTGTCACCCATTTTATACAAAAATAACACACTAAGTCACTCCTTTTAGTAAGAATTTATGATCTGATCGAAATTATTACGTGAATTGACTTGACTTATGAAATCACATAACAACAAAATCATTAAAATGTACACCTCCCACTTCCATGCCGTAACACATGTCAAATTTGACATTTACATTTGTTTTTTCTACCGTGCCTACAGTACGTTTGCACGAGACATTAGCTATTAGGCATGGAGTATAGAGGCAAGGAGGACAATCTCCCTTAGGAGAATAGTTCAAAATGTGTCCTACTCATGGAGGTTATGGCTCCTTTTCATGATCGGGATGGGCGATAGGGTGTAGAAGGGCTAATCGCCTGTAGTTGCCCATCATCGTCGTTGATCGTCGTCGTGATCGTGGCGATCGGTGCCTTGTCGGTTTTTCGGGCACACATTAAAGGGAATCGCTTGTAATTGCGTGCGCGTGCCCACACGAGGGAGCACCGGAGGGCAGCGAGCAGTGCGTACGTCGCGTCGTTTTTAAGTTTTTAAATAAAAGTGAGTGCGAGTGCGAAACAATGACTACTGCGTGGTCAAATGAAGAGACATTCAAGTTCATAGAACTATATCAGAACCAACCAGTAATATGGAATCCTAAACATAAATATCACAAAGATAAAAATAAGGTAGGTACTTAGTTATTTATTTATCGTTATTATGAGGTTTATAATCGCTAATTTGTGTCATTCTGTTAATTTTAAATCATCCATTATGTTTTTTACAGGTGAATGATACATGGGCTCGTATTGCTGAGGAAATGTTAGTACCAGTTTCCGAAATTAAAAGAAAAAAGCATCGATCACTAATAAAGAACTAGATACACAATCCCATACAAAAGTTCTCTAAAAACTGTCGCCAATTGTTGTGACGTAATTCTAGTTGAAATAAATATACATTTATGTAAATTCAACCTTAAACACATTGCCTATAGTTGTATTCACAAAGATACGTACGAAAAGCAATAATTTTTTATGACTGAGGCTCGTAGTTGGGGCAAGGAATCATTGGAGTCGAACTGCCCAATATTTTTTATTATTGTTATTTTAATTTTAAAATGTTTCAAACTTGTTTTAATAACTGGTGTACATAAAACATATTCTATTCTTTTCTATGGTGTATTATACGTAATGGTCATAATTTACCTGAATGTAAATACGTTTTTGGATAGGACACCACATTCATTTAGTAACGAAAGTACTTGAAACAGTCATAATTATTTATTTATTCTTCATCTTGTGTCAATAATTTAAAAATATTGCTTGACAAAGAACTTAAATCTAAATTCAATGGTTACTAAATATAAAAAGTATGTACAGAAAGTTGTAAGTCGTAGTCACATATTCATCACTTTTATTATGCTTCGAACATACAACGCTTCCTTGGGTCGGCTTGAAGAATTCTTCGGACCTTTGACTTCTATGACTGAAATCCGTTCCGCACACCTAACTGGATCTCAGGGAAAGCTGAAAAATTAAAAATAAAATCTCACATCTTTAAATTTACTACATGCACATATTCAAAATTAAGTCTATAAAATGTTACTTAAAAAAATTTTTTTAAAAAAAATAAAAACAAAATACACTTCTTTTTTCTCGGCGGTTGCTTTGTTTTGCCGCTCTCCCCCCTGTTTCCCGACAGGGTTTTGCGTGTGTTTCTTGCGTTTATCACAATATTTAGAGAAACTATAGAATTCTCATTAAACAAAAAAAAACAATCATACTTTAATAATAAAAAATAATAACGTCTCCAACAAATGGAACAGAGTCAACGCACATACCTACCTCGAACAATTATGACTTATTATATTTAGACTTAATTTAAAAAAATGTTTTACGGCGATTTCTTGACAAAATATAAGTATTTACAATACTGTGATAAGAATTAAATAATGATAATATTAATACGTACCGAAATTAGAAAATTCCATCCTTTTTTAGCGTCCTGGATGTGTGATTTTTACACTTTTTAAACGAGCACTGAGGCATATTTACCGTCGGGGCATTCGAATGTAACTAAATTAAAAGCGCACCCAAATGTTCGAATGGGTGCTCATTCGGTGAGGTCGTTTTTTGTCACTGATTGTGTATCTAGTTTTTATTAGTGATCGATGGGAAAAAGGAAACCTTGTTAGCAGCTTTTCGGCTGAATCATAAAAAAGTTGTCGCCTCTCTGAAATCTGGTGCTGGAGGAGACGAGGTATTTAAACCTATATGGGTATTTTATGACGCTTTAGCTGCCTTTATGATCGACGTGTATGAGTGCAAGTCGGTACTTGTTACGGCAGACGAAGTCGATGTAAGTAAAACAAACTTTAGAGTAGGTAAATATTATTTATTAATCTCAATACAATTCGTACCTACATTGTCTATTTGAAATAGTTATAAGTACATACCTATAAGTTATAAAAGTATTTAGAGTGCCTAGTGCAATTAGTATGGAATGGAAATAGTGACAATTATTGGGAAGCACAATTATCGCACTAGGCTATCTGAAGTAAAACGAAAACTTCTAATTAGCAGAATTATTAAAAAAAGTCATGAAGCATTCTCTTATTTGGGTAGCGTTATTTGTAGCTCTTCGAGGTGTTGATTGTAGCGATGTGAATACGCTACCATCATTCTGTCTCCAAGAACCTGGAAAGACGAATTGACCATTCATGTATGTATCAGTGGTACCTGGAGGATTGTACCGTTCCCTAGACGTTGAACTTTTTTCTTTAATAGAAGCCTTAACATCACACAATTGCATAGGTTTTTTAAAAACTCTAAACTTACTGGCCATTATGCCGAAAGTATTTTCGACGACTACTCGAGAGCGAGAAAGTTCTTGATTAAACAACCTTTCTAAAGTACCAATTGCATGGTGGCCAGGAAAATGTTTCATTAAATTTGTACTTAAAGATAACGCTCCATCGCCCAAAAATACATAGGGGATATCAATATTACTTCCTGGAAGTGGGCTAGGTGACGGGAAATTGACGGTGCCATTCGTCATTTTTCCAATAACACACTGCTATTAAATACCCCGCCATCACTGATCCGTCCTTTGGCGCCTACTTCAGCAAACATGAAACAGTAATCGTCGTCTACTAATGCAAGGAGAACAATGCTGAAACCACCTTTGTAATTAAAATAGTCAGATGCACTGTGAGCAGGTGGTAGTATATTTACGTGCTTTCTATTCCGTCTGAATTTGTTTGCCTTGTCAAGCCATTCTTGTGTAGTACTTGGTAACTAAAACAAAAAAAAACAGATTAAGTATTTAAATGCTATGTTTTATTGTTTTCTTGATAGAAGAAGAAGGTGCTGATGAAATCCCGGACATGCAGCAGTCTACACAGGGGCAGGAATCAAGTACTACGGTGTCTATCCCAGTTCAAAAACGGCGCAGTACAAAATTGCCTGAACTCGCAGAAACCAATGCAAAAATAAAATCAACGCTATCTACCCTTAATGACATATTAACAGTCAAAAGGAATAGATGTGGGAAAGTTGAAGAGGACGATTGTGATCTCTATGGTAGGCTTCTGGCCAAAGCGCTGAGAGAATTTAGCGCCATCGACAGACTAGAACTGAGACTGAAATAGATGGTTTAATAATAAAGAAAAAGCGCTCATTGACTAGGCATCGTTATGTTAGCTCACCATCACAAATTATTATAAGCACTAATCGCCCTTCTACTTCAAATAAATGGTATTCTGAACAGCTGGTGGATACCAATCCATCATCTATCCAAAGCAATTCAAGTAATTGTTCGTTTATCTCAGAAAATGTCATACATCGGCCCTGCTCGTCGGCGAGCATGTACACTTCACCTTCTTAAGAATCTCCCCAACGGATACAGAATCAGTAAAACATTTCTCAACATGTTTATTCGGTTGTCCCTTCACTTCCAGACAATTGAAATATGTCTACACAAAATGCTCAATCGCAGGATATTTTATATAGAGCATTTTTGGATGCTAATGTAAGCAAAGAGTTTGAGTAATTAAAAATAAATGAATGAAAAATCTAAACTATGTTTTACTTACCTTAACCATATTCTTCAATATTTTGATCAGTGCTTCGCATACTTCAGGAATTATTTGAGATATAATTTGGCTTGAAACTTCAAACGTATAATGCAAGCTTCTATAACTATCCCCAGTAGCCAAAAATCTCAGTTATAGCAAGACGGATTTTAACTGGTATATAATCCCTCCAAGTAGTGTCTTGTTATGCAACTAATGGGGATATTTTTTCAACTAAAGAATTGAAATCGCTTAGCGACATGCTAAGAAAGTTTTCAAATTCCACTGAAGGTTCCCCCAATAGCTCAGAGAGCTGATTATCCATTGTATGTCTGAAACAGATATAGTGAGAACTGGGCAGTAGGATCACCTATTAAGTTGTATAGGTATATTTACTTTGTTCTATTACGATGAATGCTCAAACACCACCATCTTCTTTTCTTTCATTTTTTTTCGCAACTTTTCGTTCAACTACATTGATAATGATTGTATACGGAAATTAATGGTAGCTGCAGCTATAACCTCCACGTCCATCTTGAATGCTTGCCGCTTAATAAATGATCATCGACGATCGAGTGGATGCTTGCACGATGATGGTGGCGATTACAGACGATCAATGAGCGTCGATAATGGCCGATCGTGTAAAGGTGGTGTTAGATAACAGGAGAACGATCGCTGTACAAAATAGTGTCCCAGAAATATGGACAAAATAAGTGAGGCGCTGCGATCGCGAAGTTGTTTCAATAAAAGCTGACTGTTGTGCGCTAGTTTGAAATGAATAAAATATCATCCAAAGAAAATAACGAAATTATTATTCATTAATAAATGAATTATAAATTATGTTTTTTATAATTTTAATTATTATAAATAATAGGTCCTTACATATGAAATTGGCGTTTTGTACGGGAGGAATATATAGTCAATTTTTTTTTGTAAAATATATTTAATTAATCAAAGTATGCGTTACATCTATGTACTTTTGCCATCTCATAGGTAGTTCATTGATACCTTTACTAATAAAACCATGAGAATCAATAAACTCTTTGAAGGCGGTTTGGACTGCCGCATCGGAGTTGAATTTTTTTCCTTGTAAGAAAATGTCCAAATTCCGGATAAAATGGTAATCTATTTTGGCAGGGTCCGGGGAGTACGGTGGATGTCACAGACATTCCAATTGTAGTTCATCTCACTTAGAGGTTGTTTCTTGTGCAGTCTGTGGTCTTGCGTTCGTCTCGTGCGTTGCGTCTCGTGAAGCAGCAGTAGCCTAGAGTGATTGACCAATCTCGGTTGTTTTTCAGTTAGTTCTTCCTTCATGGTTTGCAGTTGCTGACAATAATTATCTACTGTAATCGTTTGGCTGGATTTTAGAAAGCTGTAGTGAACGACACCGGCACTAGTCCACCAAACACTCACAAGTAACTTTTTCTGAATCAATTTTCGTTTCGGGAAGGATTTGGCTGGGTCTTCGCGGTTCAGCCATTGTAAAGAGCGCTTCCAATTAACGTACAGTATCTACTTTTCATCACAAGTAATGATTCGATTTAAAAATCCCTTCATTTTTGTGTCGGTTGAGCAAAGTAACACAACAGTCGATGCGTGTTTGCAAGTTCGACTCACTCAATTCATGAGGTACCCATCGTTCAAGTTTTTTTACTTTCGCAATTTGCTTCAAGTGAATTAATACAGTTTTATTACTGCCAGCCAGCCAGCAGCTATCTCTGAAATGCTTTTGTGATGGATCTGCTTCTACAATATACTTTAACCCCTCAGTCCCCTTAACCTTTTCGCTGCGCAATTCGTTTTGAGATTTTGTGCCTGCTGTGCGCATTTATTTTAGTAGTTTCATCTTTATTCGTGTTGAGCAGTTTGACCATTTAAACGCTGCGAATTAATTCGTGTTGAGCTGTTTAAAGAAATTAAGTATTGCGAGTTTATTCGTGTAGAGCAGTTTATTTTTTTTAAAACATGAATAATACATAGTAAAAATAGTCGTATTGAGCAGCTAACTAATTTAAAACTAAGCGCGAAAATATTCGTCAGGAGCGTATGATACACAAGTTTTTTTTGCGAATATATACGTGTGGAGCAGCGAAAGGGTTAAAATTGCCATGCAGTCGCATGCGTTCGTCAAATCCCAAGCGGTCGCATGCGAGCGCACCCACCCACAGCTCTTTAAACCATTAAAACTAATATTTAGAGACTACTTTTCTATGAAGAAGTTTGGCATTATAAAATCTATACAAAATTCTCTATATAAAAGTCAGGTTTTACTTCATTACAAAAAGACTATTGTATTTTGATAACGAAAACAAAACATACCAAGCGAATGTCGGCAGTGTGAAAATCACAAATATTTCAATATATATTACTCAAAATTATTTACGTAAAAAGATAAATGATATTCACACAAAGATTTTCATTACATTTTTATAATAAAGCACTATACTAAAATACTAGAAAAATCCAAAAATCAACACAATAACATTCACGTGAAAATAGCGAACGAAATGATCGTAGATTATAAATAAATATCCATTATATAACTGTTTTTATTGCATTAAGAGTATAGAAAATTTCGTATTAATTCTATAATACCAATCTTCTTCATAGAAAAGTAGTCTCTAAATATAAGTTTTAATAGTTTAAAGTGCTGTGGGTGTACGCGGTCGAATCCGACCCCTTGAATTTTGACGGAATAGCGCCGCGGTCGAATTGGACCGCTTAGAACTTGAAGCGTTTCAAATTTAAAGTTGTTGTTGTGTCACGTCAGCATGAACTTAACGCGAAAAAAATTGACTTCGATTGGCCTTTCACGATGAAGCGTGGGCGCACTAATCTCACCGATGATCTGCGGAGAGACTGCCTTCTACGGCGACGACTGAAGATAACATCAGTGTTGTGCGGTACATGATAGAGACTGACAAAAGAGTGACTTATCAGCAGATTCGGGCAAGCTTAGGCATCGGTATGAGTCAAGTACAAAAAATCTTCCATGAACATTTAGAGGTCAGGAAGCTTTGTGCTGGGTGTTTCCTTCAGAGGAGTTGCCAAATAAAGTGAAGAGAGGTCAAAGCGTGGGAAAAAAGATGGTGGCCTCGTTCTTCGGAAGGACAGGTCATTACGCAACAACTGTTTTAAAAGATCAAAAAACAGGTACTGCAGAGAAGCGCACTAACAATTGCTTGCCACTTGTCTTGGAAAATACTTTGGGAGAAACGACCTCGCAGTAGGCACCTCCTTCACCACGACAACGCCTCGTCGCACACCGCCAAGAAAACAATTTACTACTTGGTGACGTCAGACGTGAAATTACTGGGTCACCCACCCTATAGCCCCAACCTCGCACCTTGCGATTTTAATTTATTTACGAAATGAAAAGAAAAACTTCGAGGAAGCAGTGGCTGCATTTCAAAATGCCGTCGAAAAGACCCCTAAGGACGAGTGGGCAGTGCTTTTCTTAGTGGTTCCATCGCATCGACGTATTGATGTGAATGGAAAGTATTTTGAAAAGATATAATAAAACTAATAACTTGCTATTTTGTTGAGTTTTTTTTAAGAACTTTCAGTGTCGCTCTCGTATTTTTATACTGCCTAGATATATTCAACTATTAGTGGGTTATGAAATAATCCTACACTTATGAAAGTGCGATCTACAGCTTGTTGCTAGGATTGGGGTAAAAAATATCGATACATCGAAATTCAATATTTAAATTGGAGTATCGAATTCCTATTAATTTCGATATATTTTAAAATGTGTATTAATCGACAAAACATTAGGCAACAAAAGAAGCTCAAAAACATTTATGAGCTTTTGTCGTTTTTTTGCGTCATCCAACCGCCCAGCAATACGATTTCGTCTGTCTTGAGTCTACTACATTGTACAAAACATGAAGATATTTATCACACGAATATATCGATACTGTTTAAAAATATCGATACGATATATATATCGATTTTGTTTTCACTTTCGCATCTCTACGCATCGCTATTGTGAGAAGCTAGTCGGATGCGGGCGGGGCCCCGCGCGCTGATGGATGATCGCGTCTGCTTCACCCCCTAAAAATCTACGTGACCACGATACTATTTCGTCTTAAACAGCAGCCAATAAGAGGTAATATTTTAACGCACACAGGCCACTAACATCGCAATACAGTATCACTAACATCGCAATACAGTGTCACTAACATCGCAATACAGTGTCACTAACATCGCAATACAGTGTCACTAACATCGCAATACAGTGTCACTAACATCGCAATTTAAAAAAATATTCTTTCTGTCTTTCTGGCTGAACTGATATACTATTTATAAAGAGTTTTTTAAGCTATTGCATAGCTTCTATCGCGGGCCTTGAGCGCGGTGATCGAATCCAGAAATTCCGTAACGAAAAAAAACCTCACGCTCCCCACTCCGACGGGCACGGAGGTGTGGCGTTGAAAGCCGTGCATCGTCTAACGTCCTTTCAGTTCGGCAGACTTCGGCACGGTGTTTGTGTGCGTGCGACTAGACGTATGCGTGTGCACTAGCTGCTAACTCAATGATAAAAATTCCTGAATAACCTACATGTATTGTATAATATTAAAAATATTTTAAACAATATTAACTTCTCATTTATTCAATAAGAAAAAAAAATTGTTTTCTTATCGGTCACCACGCTCAAAAAGTGTAACTTGATTTAATATCAAAGACTTAACTGCATAAATAAAATAAATAAATAATTATAATTGCATAAGTCGATAAAAAATGCTATGCAATAGCTTTACCGCGGCAGTCACCGAGTGCCACACGTATTTTTTTAAATACGATGATATCTAACGAGGGCCAACAAGTAGTTACATTCTAAATATGCTCGGGCCTCCTCTCATTTATGAGCGAGTTGTGGAGCGATCAGTAAGCAGCGCTACTCCAGTGCGTGTTGGCAGAGTACCTCCTACTCGAAATATTTTATTCTTAAGATATGCAGGTTTCCTTACGATGTTTTGCATAACCGCCGAGCAGATGTTTAGCAAGCTTAGCCCCTAATACTTTACGGTTAGGTATGTGTCAGTAATAAATCGGAAATAAAACAGTATGGAAGAACATAAAAGAAGTTATTACTAAGGGCAGTAATAATTAAAAAGTAGTAACATGTTTTTCCTAAAATAATTTTATTTCAAAATAACAACAAAACAAAATATCTACATTAAAACTATATACAATAACATTTATATTACAAAATACTACACAAAATAAAAAATAACAGAGTGAACAAGAGTGCGGAGGCAACACACAGACAATAGCACAGAGAGAAAATACCACGATATTTTGTAATACCGAAACGGGCTTGTGTGCGTCTGAATATATTAAAACCTGTATAATTGGCTTTTAATTTCTAAGTATCTAAAAGTCGATGTATTGTCTTTTAAGCTAAATGTATACCGACTGAATATCGTTTTTATGTATAAGAATGGTAAACAACCGAGGTCATCAATATGCTGGGCAAGGAAAGTAGTAAGAAATAACATTTTGCTCAATCTGTTTTGATGTTATCTTGCATTTATTTACGTAACTGTGTTCCAAGAATGTTTTATAAAGTAAGTCATTATTGGAAAATATTTGTTTTATTTAAATATTTTTGAGAGTAATTATTTCTAACATGAGCGTTGCGAGAAGCCTGCTGAATGCTACAGCACTCTCATTCACTTTGCTAATAATGTATAAAACTGTTTTAATTTTTACATACTATTCTTCACTAAACGAACAAATAAATACTTTTTCAATACTTTTTTCGTCAATCTATGCAAATTAAGGCACATTGACATTTCAAGACTAACAATGTTTAGATTTTGGCCACTGAATTTATAAGAAATGAACTATTTTTTAAGACCGCAATATTTTGTCTTCATAACTGTTGGTAGATTAGAGATGACAGGTTTCCTCAACTTCGGACACACGGTGATGCTGTGAATAAAATAAACTAGATAATTATCTAAATCATTGCACAATATGAAATAATAAAATTACAAGTATTTGTCAAATACGTATATAGCCAGTGTTCATACCTTTTATATAAAATATTCACCCCTATTATATAAAATACTAACGTCCTGCCCCGACTTCGCCTGGATAGGATCGTTTAATGTGGCGTTATTCAGATTTTGATAAAATAAATGGTCTTTCATTTTTTTTGTGTATCCGAGACTTCGGACGCGGCTGATGACAAGGGGATTGAATAATAGTTATTTTCTTCATGAAAGGCCAAATTACCCGTTCAGTGAGAAAAAGCTGGTAGTGTTTTCATTTCCCGTCTAACAGCCATGAGATTACTGAGTGTGATCGGAGAGTATATGTGTTCTTCTGCAACGGGTCTTGCAGAACTTAGCCCTGACTGCATGGACAGTTTCCACGAGCTTATAGCTAATTTTTATCGCCCATCGCATTGCAGTCTTCTAGGCGCTGAAACGCTGAAACTGGTTTTGTAACTCGAGCTGAAAGGTTTCGGGACTATGGATTGGAGTGTTGACTTCATTAGATGAAACTTAAAGTTTAGGTTCAGTGTGCCTCTAACCATTCGGTGATCGCTGCCAGTTTTCACCCTCGCGATTACGGAGACATCACTGAACAGTTACCGTCTAGTCGTTATAATGAAGTCAATCTTATTTTTTGTCGAACTGTCGGGGCTCAGAAGTCAACACTCCAATCCATAGTCCCGAAACCTTTCAGCTCGAGTTACAAAACCAGTTTCAGCGTGGCCTAGAAGACTGCAATGCCATGGGCGATAAAAATTAGCTATAAGCTCGTGGAAACTGTCCATGCAGTCAGGGCTAAGTTCTACAAGACCCGTTGCAGAAGAACACATAAACTCTCCGATCACACTCAGCAATATCATGGCTGTTAGACGGGAAATGAAACTGTAGTCTTAAGCAGATTTGACAGCATTACAGGCAACTGAACAGACAGCCAGAAAGAGCCAACTGTCAAAGCTGAAGACCGAGTGTCCCCATCGTTTCCGAGACACTAAAGATTTTGAGTGAGATTGAGCAGTTCTATGAGCTGTACTCGTTGGAGCCACACGCAAGTGTGATTAACGATCCAAGGGCAAGTTTTATCCGACACTATTCAGATGGTATCCCGGACGTCAGTCTGAGCGAGATTAGAATGGATCTCCAGCACCCTAAAAACGGCAAGGCCACGGGCGAGAATAGAATTACAGGGGAGCTTCTGAAAGCCGGTGGAAAACCAGTACTCGTAGTCCTTAAGAAGCTCTTTAATTCCGTTCTCTTTGGCGGAATTACTCCGGAGACGTTGAGCAGAAGTGCGGTGGTCTTGTTCTTCAAGAAAGGCCACAATGCTCTCTTGAAAAACTACGGACAAATTTCCCTTCTGAGCCGCTACGTGCTGTTTTCGAGTCATTACGAATCGTCTCACACGGAGACTCGACGACTCCAGCCTCCAGAAAAGCCGATATTCCGAAAATCCACTTCGCCTTGCGTATGTGGACTATGAAAAAGCCTTTCAATCTGATTTAAATTTGGGCGGTCCTATAGTCTCTTCAGCGGTGCAAAGTTGAATGTCGGTATATCGAAGTGCTGAAGTGTTCGTACAGTATGGCTACGATGGCTATCCGAGTATGAATCCTATCCAACTGCAGAGAGGTGCAAGACAGGGTGACGTTATATCCCCGAAACTCTTCACCGCTGCATTGGAAGACGTTTTCAAGCTACTGGACTGGAAAGGATACGGTATTAACATCAATGGCGAATACATCACTCACTTTCGATTTGCTGACGATATAGTCCAAAATCGCTGGAGGACCTAAACACTATACTCAATGACCTAAATAGTGTCTCTCAATGAATAGGTCTCAAGATGAACATGGACAAAACAGAGATCATAATAATGTCCAAGTCACATCTATGCCGTTAGTTGTTGAGAGCACTAAGCTAGAAGTTGTTGAAGAGTAAGTTTACCTGGGACAAATAGTCCAACTTGGTAAGTACAATTACTTTGACCGAGAGGTCAATCGACGGATTCAACTCGGCTGGGCAGCCTTCGGGAAATTACGACACATCTCGTCAGCTATACCTCAAAACCTGAAAATGAGATTGTACAACCAGTGCGTGTTGCAAGTGATGACTCATGGATCTGAGACTTGGTCCTTCAATTCTGGCTGTATGTGGAAGATCAAGGTTGCTCAGCAAGCTATGGAGAGGACTATGCTCGAGGTTTCTCTGTGTGATAAATTTAGAAATAAGGATATTTGCAGTAGAACTAGAGTGATTGACATAGACCAACAGATTAGTAAGCTAAAGAGGCAATGGGCCGGCCATATAGCTCGAAGAATCGACAACTAATGGGGGAAAATGGTTCTTAAGTGGCAGCCTCGTGCCGGTAGGCGAGGAGTAGGGCGACCCCCCACTAGATGGAGTGACTTCCTGGTAAGACATGCAGGAAGTCGATGGATGCAGGTAGCTCAGGACCAGACCATGCTTTGTAGCATTAATTGGGGGATGCCTATGTTCAGCAATGGACTTGTGAAGAGCTGTAATGACGAATGATGATGAAATTATTTATATACTTACTCAGTGTTATATTCAATGGAAGAAATTTTTAAGTATTCTATGTAAATGCTAGGTGATTTCAATAACCTCCAGGTTATGGGATTAAATAAGTTAGTCTCATATTTCCATTCCACAATGACTGATAAAGGTGGTAAGCCTGTGTCTTTGAAAGGCACCATTTTTGTTTCTTGATCACCTGGTTTGTAGTACTTCCTGAAATTAAGCATTTTTTTTTTAAATCGCCGTCTCTGACAATGGATACGCGTAAATCAAAACCAAACTATTAAATTTTGTGTGTACTTAAAATATATCATAATATAAAATATAAATGCTCCGATTATTGTCTGAATATGCCAAAAAATTACAAATGCAAAAACGTACGTTTAAAACGTTTCCACAATCACAAGTTAAGACCACAATCTAAGAACAATTACGATTAACTTATTCCGCTTTAAAAAACCTTACTCAAAATTTTTACATCAGCCGTTTATTAACAGTAATTGTTTAAAAAACGCTTAAAATCTTAGTTTTTAAAAGTAGCCTACATATGTCCCGCCGCTGACCACAGTCCTCCTCAAGGCAAGGAAATGTCCCGCGCTGCACCCAAGCATGTTGGCAAACTTATTCGAAATATATACTTATTTTTATTTCAGAGCATATTTCGCAACGGAAGCGGTGAAATTCCTTGTAGTAAAACTAATATATCCCTGTAGTAAATATAATGTTTGATAATTTCAAAAACTTTTCCTTAAAAAAATTTAACGTAATTTCATTATTTTCTATCTTATTGAGGCGTTTCTATATGAGGTCCACTTTACTGATTTTTATTTGTCCCATTCAATTTTGACTGGGATATACTTAAGTTTTATTCTAAACAACACAATGAATATCATGCTGTCGGCGGTGTTTACCAAAATAAGCTATGTGTAACAAAAATACGAAAGTATATATTTTCGGGGATTTTAATCTACCTCACATTGAGTGGCTACAGAACGACGGGAATACCTGTACTCCAAATACACATTGCTGCAAAAATCCAATAACTTTGCTCGTCTCAATTTTTTTATCAATTGTAAACTGCATTATAGTCAACCAAATCTAAGAAATACATTTTGGCAACTGTCAGACTTATTGCACCTAGCATGCCAACCAAAAAATGGGAACGTACAATATCAGATTCTTAAAAAAATCGATATCGATTATTTAGAGTTAGTAATCATTTACAGGTTGGTTTGAATAATACCAGGTGAAATTAAAAACGGATAATTTAAAACCCAAGATTTATCAGTTTCTTCGTATTTGTTGTTACTGTATTTCTAAAGGTACGGTTATAAAAATTTAAGATTGAAACTAGATTAAAAATAAATTTATTCAATCACTTTTAGTACAACTAGTTGAGCGGTCGTTGTTTAGATTAATTATTATTTGATTTTCAATAAACTTTCGTCCAAATTAACGTCTCTTTCAAAGTCATCCATAATCAATTTTTTTGTTTTTTCTACCACTTTTGCCCAATCATCCTTTGTGACATGGCACATACTTCAACGAATATAGAAGAAACAGTCCAAAAACTTAAAGCCGAGTCACAAAATAAGAAGACAAACACAAAATCAAAAAATTACGCACAGTCCCGAAATGGCGGGTGATTGAAATTACGTAGTGGTTGTTTAACAAGGCTTTGTATAGAGTTTTTTGTCTACAAAATTTACGTTGACAAAGTAAAAAAATAAACTTGTTTTATTCATGATTCATGTAATTTGAGTTTTAAAAATAAAAATTTTATTAACATTTTTTCTTAATAATTTTTTACCGATTATTTGAACATTTTTGCCGATTATTCGCATAACAATGAATTTTAGTCATCCAAACACTACGGTTAGGTACATAGCAACATATTGAAACGACGCCAAGTAAAAAAGTTAATACTGGTTATTTTTTAATATTTTGCTTCGTTTAAAAGATTAGAATTTAAATTAGTGATAAAAAAACTATACACGTTGTAATGAAATATAAATAACTTCATAATTCCTCGGACTTACGTAAAAGATTATTTTAAATCATGTGAGTATGCTTGTGCAAAGTTATTGCGGAGTGATTAATGTGAAACGTCAAAAGGTATTTCTTAGATTTGGTTGACATTAAAAATAATAACAATCGCGTCTTAAGTTTTTTTTTTCATTTCAAATAATAATACATGCACTTGTTAGTCACCATTGAATTCTTTAGTTATAATATATGTCTTCACCAATTAAATGCTGAGCTACGTTTCAACATAGAGTACTTATAATTGGCGCGTTAAACTTTACCAAAAGATTCTCCGAGGGTAAATATGTAGATATTATCCGTAAGGCCATGTCTAAGCTTGATCAGATATTTAGGAAATTCAAGCAGAACCGTTGTGAACTCAATTGGGCAAAATTCAAAGCTGCGAGAAATCGATGTAATCAGATGGTACGAGCCGCTAAACGCCGCTATATTCACCATAATATCATGAACTCTTCTATGGCTGATACATGGAAATTTCTCCGGACGATCGGGGTCGGTAAACCTACGTGTAACGTGGACCCTGCAATCATTTCTATAAGTGACCTAAACTTACATTTTTCTTCAACTTCCCAAATGGAGGCTTCTGTTAAATCAAGTACTATTTCTTATTTGAATTCCATGCCACAATCTCGTAACTGCATATTTAATTTTTCTCCCGTTGCTTTTTTTTTTATAGGATAGGGTGACAAACGAGCACACAGTCCACCTGATGGTAAGTGGTTGCTGTGGCCCATAGACATCTACATCTATCCTCGATTACGAATCAAAATGCAGATGCGTTGTCACCCGTGAGGACTATGATGGAATGCCTCGTTTCCAGTAAAAAGGGTCTCCGGTTCTCTACACTCACCATACGAAATACAGCAGCATTAAGCTACTATTTCACGCTGGTATTCTGTGAGAGCGTGGTCCTTCTCCGGTCGAGCCGACCCATTCGTGCTACAACTATACTACTAATATAACTGCAGCATGGCTCTACCACATATAAATGCTGATGAGGATATAAAAAAGATCATCTATTGTATTAACTCTATGGCAGTTGGCTTTGATGATGTGAATAGACTCATGATCACCTTAATTCTAGACAATGTTACTCATGTTATTACTCACATCATTAATCACTCACTATTGACTGGGGATTTTCCTACACTTTGGAAAAAAGCATTTGTTATTCCGCTGCCCAAAATAAATAACCCCAGTTCTTTCTCTCACTTTCGCCCAATATCTATTCTCCCTTTTTTATCTAAAGTTCTTGAAGCTATTGTCCACAAACAAATTTCTTGTTACATTTTCAAAAATAATTTTCTAAGCACATTTCAATCTGATTTTAGGCCTGGGCACAGTACAACCACAGCTCTTTTGAAAGTTACAGAAGATTTTCGTACTGGAATGGAGAACTCAAAATTGACTGTGTTAGTCCTAATAGATTTCTCTAACGCTTTTAACGCTGTCGATCATGATATTCTAGCTGTAATTTGTCACCTGGATTTCTTTTCATCAGCACGGGACTGGTTCTCCTCGTATCTTCGGAGTCGTCAGCAGGCTATTCGAGTGGGTCAGATCGTTTGATTGGTGCTCGTTGTCTGCTGGCGTTCCTCAAGGCGGAATTCTCTCTCCTCTTCTTTTCTCAGTCTTTATAAATCTCATTACATCACACGTTCGCTGTTCGTACCATCTGTATGCTGATGACTTACAAATTTATGCTCAAAATGAGGTGGCAGGTATCGATGGCGTGATTAAGAAGCTTAACTGCGACCTTAACAGTATTTATTATTGGTCGGACAGATTTGGTATTAGGGTTAATCCATCAAAGTGTCAGGCTATTGTGGTTGGTAGTTCTCGTAGATTGCCTAAAATTGATATGAAGGTGCTACCTCCTATAATTTTTAATAATGTTACTATTCCTTACTCGATAACTGTTAAAGATCTTGGCTTAGTTATTGACAACACCCTCACTTGGCGACCGCATATATATGAAGTGAGCAAAAAGGTCACTCACACTCTGCGTTATCTGTATCGTCTCAAGATTTTTTTACCGATAGGGACTAAGGTGATGCTAATACAGACCCTAGTGTTGCCTATTTTAGATTATGCAGATGTTTGCTATGCTGATGCCTCTCAAGAACTTCTAAACAAACTGGATCGACTTCTTAATAATTGTATACGCTTCATTTTCGGTTTACGTAAATACGACCACATCTCCTCTTATCGTTCTCAGCTTAAATGGCTACCTCTCCGCTATCGCATATATTTCAGAATACTGTGCACATTATTTTCAGTTTTACACGATCCGTTTGTGCACGAAGCTTCGGAGCTGAATAAAGTGAATTAGTGTGCTTAATTATTAGTGTTTTAAGTTTTAATTTGTGTAAAGAAAATTAAAGTGTTAATTTAAGTAATTCTATCGGCAATTTTTACAGTCATGAACCTCAAGCTCGTAACAATAATATATATATAGCAATTAGGGCGGCTTTTTTATAATTATGTTTATAACATGTAATGCAATATGTAATGTGTATGTCTACTTAAAGATGTTTTAACTCAGTTGCATTTTGCACCCACAATATCTTCTCTGCTTAACCTGGAGGTAGACTGGCAGAGAATGCCTTGTTGCATTAAGTCCGCTTTTTTGTACTCGGTGTGCAAATAAAGCATAAATAAATAAATATTAATGACGAAATTAAAAGACTAGGCAAGTATTTTAGAGATGCCGTCCTATGACGCTGCCAACAACCACTTTTATGAAGAGATATATAAAATCATAAGGAAACAGATACCTTTACGTCTAATCATATCTAAACACTTTTTTGGACTTGTGTAAAAAAACAATTTTAAAAATTATACAAATTTTAAAAAAATTGGTATTCCCAATATAATGTCTTACGACTGAAATGAAACCTAAAATCCTGAGGACGTATGTGAACTGTTAAGAACTTGGATATGACTAAAAGTCCTGGACCAGACAGTATCTCACATTTTTTCCTCACCTACTGCTAGCTCAATAAGCATAATTCTGTTATATTTGTATAACCGCAGTTTGCGTGAAGGTTTAGTGCCGACAGTCAGGAAATCGGCAAATATAATCCCTGTGTTCTTAAACGGTTCTAAAATTGACGTGACTAATTATATACCTATTTTCTTACTTTCGGCCTTATCAAAAGTACTTGAATGCTTAGTACCTAATTCAATATATCCAAGTTTGCAGAATTTTCTAATAACAAAACCACATGGTTTTGTAAAACACAATAAATCATCAGTAATCTTATTTTATACACAAAATTTCTGTTTGATAATATTATGAACAACCAATTACAAACTGATACTGTTTACACAGACTTTCGTACAGCTTTTGTTAATTTGCAATTGAGGGAAGCTCAGATGTAAATCTATTTCTTTCACCAAAAACATAAAAACCTATAATTACATATATTCTCTTCTTAATATCCTCTTAGAAAAAGTATCATGAAAAAAATATTTCGGCAACCTTTACGATTAAAATCTGAACTTTAATACTCATATCAGCCACTTTTTTTTAAGGATAGGGTGACAAACTAGCACACAGTCCACCTGATGATAAGTGGTTGCTGCGGCCTTCTCTACATTTACATCTGTCCTCTATTACAAATCAAAATGCAGATGTGTTGTCACCCGTGAGAACTAAGATGGAATGCCTCGTTTCCAGTAAAAAAGGTCTCCGGTTCTCTACACTCACCATACGAAACACAGCAGCATTAAGCTAATAAAATATAGCCATATATCAAACAAAGCGTATCAAATGTACAGAATTGTTGCACGAACATGTAATTGTTGTAAAAGATCCTCTTCTTACTTACTACTTTCTAAATCACTTTTTAGACCACAAATTCAATATACAACACAAATTTCAAAAAGGAAGTTTACCGATCTAGAGCTACTAAATTTAGGGGTGGCTTTCGTTTTATAATTTATAAACGTTACCACGCTAAATCATCTTATCGCCACTTATTAAAAAAGTTTTCAATGCACACTATAAAAGCAAGAAGAATATACTTTGATCCAATGCTATTATTTAAAATAACTCGTAATGATTTAGATTGTAATGAACTACTTAATAAAATTAGAGACGCATTAGAGATGTACACATACATTGTTTGGACCTAAATTATGCAAAACCAACTTCACTTCATCAAATTTACAATATCGTATAACGTTTTAAGAAGGTTATTAGACATTCAATAGTATTTCTAAATATTTCAAAAAAGAATTGGTTATTGCTAGCTATTTTTTTTTTCATTTTTGTCTTTTGTCTCATTGAATAAAACTATTATTTACGTAAGTTATTAAATTAATTTAAATTTAAGAAGTCATTTTGTCTCATTTTTAAAATCTACATGTTGCAGAGTATTATCAACTTTACCTTTTCTCTTTCCACTTAACTCTATTTACTGTGCATTTATTGTTACCAATTTAATATTACTTTGTGGATGACAGTGCTGGTTATATAATGACTAATATTATTTATAATTTGTTCTGTTAATATTAGGTAAGCATTATTATGTAACAGTTTGTTGTCCGAACAAAATAAAAAATATGCATAATATACAATACCAGAGTGAAAATTAATAGAGGGCTGAGGTAGCTCAAGGATATGTGCTCGCCATGTTAGGCGAGGGATTCCAGTTCATCTCCACTGCCAAGGTGAAGGAAAATATCGTGAGGAAATCTACATGTCTAAGAAATTAAATATGATTTTTCAAGGTCATGATATGTAATCCGCGCACATATATTTGAGCAATAAGGCAGATTTTACTCTGGTCCTAAGCGTCTAAAGAGGTCTTGTGCCCTACAGTGGGACGCATATAGACCACTGCCTATTATGTTTTTTTAACTAAAATCAAATTACCTACTTGTAGATAATATCATATAATACGTTTTCAATAGTATGAATAAATAAGTTAGTTTTTTTCTATCGCGGCTCTACCCATATAAAATAAATCCACTATAGAAATCTTTTAACGGTTTATATTTTATATTATATATGATATATAGGGTCCCTGGGCATTAACTTTTTTGATAGGGTGTTATGGAATAAATAAATGAATTCAGTTAGAATGTGTAAAAATGTTGCTTCCGCTAAGAAGCAAAATCTTTACATCCGTAATTGCCTTTTTAAAGACCAAAGTCCAGTCAGAGCTCTTGCTAAAATGTTTGTACTACATCCTAGTCTTCTGAAGTAATTCATTCACCCGGATTATAACTTTGTTCTTACTTTTCTTACCACACTACAAAAGGTTAGCTGGCAGAGAATGCCTTCTCGGCATTAAGTTCGCCTTTGTACCAAATTATTTTGTTTGAGTGCAATAAAGAATTTTCTATCTATCTATCTATCTATCTACTTGAAATATTATTGAAGAATGAAAAATTTTACAATAAAAAACTTACTGTTCATTGTCGATAAATTTCTGGTCGCTCTTGCTGTTGTTTCTATCAACCAGAACGACTGAAATCCTTCCAACGTCAGGTCCATGGACTCTGCTTTCAGTGGAGTTTGACACTTTAAGTGTAATTTTATAGTGGACCGCTGTAAAAAGAAATTAAAATACTTGTTATATTGCACCTTACCTAGGCTGCACTAAAAGTATCGGGAATGGAATATTTCCACTGTTCCTGTCATATTAAAATCCTTTTAATTGAAAACTCTTTGGTTTTAAAAATGGAATACTATTTATTTATTTAAAAAAAGATTCTCGGTCTTGTCACAAGGTTTTGTCAAACTTGTTTAGTCCTTGAGAAAATGGAATTGACTCGAGAAAATTCAAGAGCGATGATTTATTATGACTCTCGAAGTGGTTTAACACAAAAACAGTGTGTTGACCGGATGATTTCTGCATTTGGTGATGAAGCCCCATCCAAAACCACAATTTATCGCTGGTTAATGATAGAATCAGGCTTACTGGAAATCCTTTTTGTTGCTGAATTTCAACGTGGACGTGTCAAGCTCAGTTATGATCCCCGTCAAGGTGGTGCAAAAACTGCAGTCACCCAAGAAAACGTTGATGGTGTGCGTAAGCTGATTGAGGAAGATCGACATGTGACATACCGCGAAATTCAGGCAACTTTAGACATTGGCATGAGTCAAAGACACATAATTTTGCATGAACAATTAGGTGTAAAAAAGTTGTTTTCCCGATGGATACCGCATTCGCTCTGTGAAGAGCAAAAAGCGGCTCGCGTTACTTGGTGCGTCAGAACTCTCGAAAGATTAAACGCAGGATCCTCAAATGCTGTATACAACATCGTATCAGGTGACGAATCCTGGATATACGCGTACGAACCCGAAACAAAAAACCAGTCACGAGTTTGGGTGTCCGAAAATGAGTTAAAGCCAACAAAAATTGTTCGTTCACGGAGTGTTGCAAAAAAAATGGTGACCACGTTTGTCTCCAAAACCGGCCATGTTACGACTATTCCTCTTGAGGGGACAAAGAACGGTTAATGCAGAATGGTATGCTAGCATTTGTTTGCCACAGGTTGTTTCTGAACTCCGTAAAGAGAACAGCAACCGCCGCATCATCGTCCATCACGACAATGAGAGTTCTCACACCGCACACAGAACAAAAGAGTTTTTAGAGCAAGAAAACATAGAATTATTAGACCATCCGCCGTACCCTAAGCCTTAATGATTTCTATACTTTCCCTAAAATAAAGAATAAATTGCATCGTATGGAAAAATGTGTCAAATTTCGCGGAGAATACTTCGAAAAGCAATAAATACATTTTTAAATAGTAATGTTGTGTCACTTCCTTGATTCTCGAAATTTTCAGTGCCGCCCTCGTACTTACACTCTGTGGATGGAGGCTACCAGGTTGTACAGCACACAGCTGAGCAATCTTAACCCCCAGGATAAAAGGCATTTAAGACAGGGGTTTTCCCGTTATCTTACCCATCATCAGCCCGTAAACAGTTTGAATTTAGGCCTCTACAGAAGGAGGCAAAAGACAAAACAAATATTGTTTTGTCTTAGATTCGAACTTGTACATTTTCGTAATTCAGTAGTCAGTAATCTATATCGTACAAAAAAAAGTCAAACAGGCGTTACATAAATCGGTATCTACAGTAGTTATATAACAACCTCCTGAATTTTTTTTATATAGAGAAAGACACTACTATAAACAAAAATGGAAATACAGAAAATAATATTCACGAAATTCGTTCATGGACATTTCTTCTATTCGATAATAGATGGCGCTGTTGGCAGAGTTCTAGAAAGATGGCGGATGGCGCTAGTGCCATCAACAGTGGTGCGCAACAATATTCATATTTATATTTTATATCATGGAGAAATCAACTCATTAACTTCATTGACGAGTGACTATTACCTTTACTATCACTAATTAAATAACTAGTAAATGTCATTAATACTAACTGCAAAATGGTTTCGAGCCTCCCGTCATAGAATACAGCGATATATGAGAATTTGTATCGAGCAGGCCTGCCGCTTGCAATCTCTTGTATATCTTGTACGAGTGATAGCCCATTGGGATGCAGTAATGTTTACTATCGCACGTCGTGCAATTGCCAGATAAAAATCCCTGAAAAAAGAAATAAACATAAGCTAAATAACAAAACATGTATGGTTAAACAAATTAAATAAATAAATTAAAAATTAAAAATAATAATTAAACAATTACCAAACAATAAACCATAGGTATATAAAGGTTTCCCATTAAAATGAACAAATTAGTTTTTGTATAAGTACATTTTTAAAAGTACAAGAAAAGCAAAAAAGGGGGATGTTTCAAAATGTATAGAGCTATGGAATCAGGACAGGTCGTTGTACACTACATTAAAAATAGGTAATATCACAAACGGAACAGTTTTTAACTATACTCTTTTTAATATGGTTTTGTTAGCTTGTTCAAAATAAAAATTCACACTTAGCATTGCAATACAAAAACAAAAAAAAAACATAATGATGGTAAAATAATATATAGTACGTGCCAAATCGACTGAGAAAAACGGACAATAACCTCAGATATGAGCAGAGTGTCAATAGGCGTAACTTACAAAATCTAACTTTAGATGTGATAACAATATTTAAATATTGATATTATTCACACTTCTAGGTCAGCACATATGGTTTGTTTTTTTGTTTCTTAAATAATATTGTATGTGGTTCCTATAACATCGTAAAATCTTACGGTACATCGCGAAAAATGTGTTATATTTTATATTTTAATTTATGGTAAGCAACGCAGCAATTCATATAACAGTTTCATATTATAAAAAATATTTGAAGCGATATAATCACCATACTGACCTTTTGCAAATTCATCCCTTTAAAACAAATAAAACGCGCGTTACGACAGTTCGTTCTAAGAGAAACGTGACAATGGCAGCCAGAGATGCGTCACTTTTTTTGGGCCGGTCCGCATGCACCGAATAAAAATAAAGTTCTTATATAATATTGAAAATGAAGTTTTATTTTTTGAATAAGTACGTACTTATTCGGTGTCGTTATCACTCGAATCTTTATATGTTATAAATTAATGTTTTTTTTTGTTGAATGAATAAAGTACTTTATAACAATAGACGATTTTTCTTCTACAGCAATCTTTTGCATAACTTTTTAATAGTAGTTAATAAATATATATTATATCAATCATTATAAAATAATCATTATAAATAAAGAAAGTACTACACATAAAAAGCGCCTATATATTGAAGGTTTATAATAGCCCCTGGTTAAACGACCGAAAGGTCATTGTCTGTTTTTCTCAATCCATTTGATACTATATATCTATGATTTATTTAGTAATTTTGTGCGTGACATTTTACTGCATTCTATTGTTCACAGTCTGCTTTTTTAAATAAATCGGTGAGACGCCATATGGTAAGTTGACTAAATGGATTGATTAATAAATCATTTTGACTCACTAAAGTATTTTATTAAACTAATTATACGTATTTTCGTGAATACCACATATTTACATCAGTTTTTTTAATTGTTCAAAGACTTGGCTATCATAGGGTTGGGTTTACAATTCGGTCGCCTGAATTTGAAGATTCTGTCACTTTTTTTGCGAAATTGATCTTTAAGATTTCGATTTTTTGTGAATCGATTCATCTAATTTCGATTTGAATCGATTTAAAAATATGTAAAATTAAATCGCTATGCCGGCGATTTTGTTGACAGCTTTTCCTTACGGTGATGCTTCCGAGTTTCAGAATTTTGGTAAATAGTGAAATATTTGTGGCGGCGGAATACTGCTAAATATCGCAAAGATCTTTTCTTACAAATGGTGGCAGCCATAAATTATGTTTATAAATTAAAGTAGTTACGAAAGTTAATAATTTGGTGTTATATCGAGTGCAATAGCGAGCGAAGCGAGCCTGGGAACGTGGAGCACCCCGACTCGGACAGGTTAGGTTAGAAGAGGATGACGGGGTCGTGTGAGCGAGCGAAGCGAGCGAATAGCCCCGTCATCCTCTTCGTGGTTATTTTTTTGTAAACCACTCAGAAGTAGGAGCCCCGCGAAGCGGGGCTCCGTCGACCGGACCTCCCTCGACTGCACCACGTTAAGTGGCGTGGGGCTTCCATCCTCCAACTCTCTCTACCCATAAATCAGGTTAAAATTGTCATAAAAATTACGAAACATAACCTCAAAATGAGATTTTTAAAAATTAATAAAAAAAAAACTAAGCACGTCCGGCAGAAAGTGGAAGTAGGGGGTGACTGTACAACTCCTCCCCCCTCCCCCACGCCACCCCCCACCCCCAAATTCAGGCGACCGAATTGTAAACCTTACCCCTATCATAAAATTTCGTCACTAAAGTTCGCTCCTGGACAATTTCGAGCACAATACTTTCGATAGTGGTTCTAAATTCACAGCTTCGCAAAAGAAATCATAATGTTCGTTCTAGCCATAGAAATCGTTATAATAAAACTAGAATACGCACAGACGCGTGACCTTGTCACCGCCTGTGCGACTTCACCATTTTGTGATTTAGTTGCGCGGGGAACCTCGTACGTGAATTTATATTGTTATAATGGTGAACTGCAGCATAATAGTTAAAAAAAGTAGTAAAACTCATCAAGGACGTGTAATTCAACTAATAAAGACATAAAATTTAATCGGTAAGATGATTATTTATTAATTAATAATAATAATAATAATTCTTTATTGTCATTTTCATAGGTCACAATTTGAAATGGGCAGAAACCGGAGTCTCCTAGCTAGGTTACTGAGTAACCTGTATTTAGGAGATAATTATCATTGTTTTAACTAATTTACATCTAGATGAATACTGTACTATGACTTTTACCTTTGTAAACTTTCATTTATTACTTTTTGTATTGACAATTATTTCGCGCGGGTGTTTTGAAAGTTTTTTTTTCGCCATTGCTGCTTTTGTTCTACCGTAATACGAGACGTTGACAAACTCGCCAAGCAATGTAATGTGAAACACTAGATATCATTGTGCATTGTGTGTTTATAATACGCCTGCAGGTGGCGACATCGGTTTTGGAAGTAATCGAGCGCTAATTCATTTCTATTGTCTTGTAATCAAAATGTAGATTCATTGTTACCCCTGAGGACCAGTAATGCTTAGTTAGGCAGGGTTTCCAATTCTCTCAACTCACCATACGAAACACATTAGCTGCTATTTAACGCTGGCATTCAGACAGTGTGGTACTTCCCCGTTCGAGCCAACTGATACGTGTTGCAATCATAATGTAGCTGCAGTGTGCCTCTACTACTACAATATAATCATAAGAGCCTTAAGTTTTACCTCATAAGATTCACATTGCACTGCCATAAATGGGCACGAAGGCGCGATACTTTCAATGAACAGCTCGTAACTTCTCTCGTGGTTGCAGCTGACGAACTTCAACACATTGATGTACATATCGTTGTTGCCTATTTGACCCTGTGAGCCGTCGTTCTTGCAACCGGGTTGAGTAGATCCTCCATTGGGATAGAAGTCTACATGACCGATCGATTCAGATATACCAAAACCTGAAAATATATAATGTTACTTACTTTTAATTACAAAAAATAAATTAGTTTATAACATTAACGCGCGGTTGAAGTAAAGCTTAATAAGATTACTTAATAAATATTCCGCCCCGGCTTCTCACGGGTGATTAGACATGTGTCAATCATGAATGATTCGTTCGTTTGAGCTGGTACACTTAAAAGTATTTTCATTTTATTTATTTATTTATTTGGTTCACCTACAAATGTTACACTAATACATTTGCTTAATTCTAAGACCGTGATATAAACTAAGTGCACATTCAATAATAGGTAAACACCGCATGCTTAGTGCTCATAGCATTTCCTACAAGCCATAATAGCTAAAAATATAATTTTTTTAATTGTGTATTGTAATACACAATTAAAAAAAATTAAATTAATACGAAAAAAAATTAGGTACTACAAAGAAATATTAATAATTTGATAAATTTTGTATCGAAAAACGTTAAAAGAGTCGTGGTGAATATCTACTACATTATTATAAGTATTTAAAAGTCTGCAAAGTCTGGGTATTGGGTAATTAGATCCTAGTACAGTTCTACAAAAGGGCGGCGAAAGAGGAGTAATGTACTTACGAGGATATCTACTTGGGATACGAAAATTAAACTTACTTAGTAATAAAGGACAATCTAACTTATTTCTAAATATTTTATATAAAAGTTGCAAATCCAGAATTTCCCGGCGTTTAGACAGTGAGACCATTTTAAATGTCTTTAATCTGTCAACATATGATGCATTTTTATATGATTTTTGTGTTGAAAAGGCAAGATGCCATAAAAATCTTTTTTGTATGCGCTCAAGCCGTAAGGTATGGGTAGAATAATGGGTCAGACAGACTTACAGAGTACTGGAGCTCGAAATGTTCCATTGGAATGATCGATCCGAATGTACCGATACACGTGACGAAATGTACTAGAATGATTCGGTCACGAGAAATGAATGATTGACACACGTCTACGGGTGATATATGGATTCTACAACAGCGCCACCTACCGGGTCTAACTATGTCTATAATCTTCGTGTAAGTGCAAGCAATATGTTGACAAAGTTTTACCACAATCTTATGAACGCTATGGCAGCGCATAAAATACGAACAGACAAAAAATAATTTTTATATGTTAGAATATTTTTGATTTTTAACAATTTTTTTACAAAATTAATAAAATATAATATAATTAAAAGGAAATAATAGTCATTATTAGTAGTGTCCTCATGTAACTGTGACAAGTAAACTAACAGTCCAGCTAATGGTAAGTAGCTACTATAGCTAATGCACTAACTTTAAACAAAGAAGGCTACGATATGTGCCTCACTGAGGACTAAGTTGGAATGCCTCTCAGCCTGTAAATACATACTTTCTATATCTTTTAGACCGGAAATCAACAGTGCACGCACTGCTGCTTGGCGGCCAAAATAATTAGAGGGTGGTAACTAACATGCAGTTTCTTATGCAGAAAAGGAGAGATGATGGTTTCCCTTAAAAAGCCACCACATAGCAAAAGATATAAAAAGGTAAAGGAAGCTCAGATAAGTCCTAACTAGAGATGAAACGGACAGCTTTTTGGCCGGATACCGGATATTCGGCCAGTCTTATCGCCGGATAGCCGGATATCCGGGGCTTTTGTTAAAAGCCGGTATCCGGCCGGATAGGCCGAATATCGGATAGTTACCGGATATCCGTTTCATCTCTAGTCCTAACTTCAAACTAACATGTGTTATGATATAACTCACTATACGACGAATACGAAGATAGAACAGAGGATGAGGCAGAGAAAGGAGACAATGTCACCGACCCAGAACACTAACAATGTATTTATCAAATGTTAACTCCGACTAGGATTCTAATACCATTTTATTTATAATAATTTAATAATAACTCAGTTAATAAGGATGTCATAAAAATTATCTGAAATTGTGGCTATTCACTATGAGTATGGTCTACTTAGAAGAACGAAAGAAAGAACGTTACCTGAAAAATATAGCGGCATAGCATTACTGTGTATTACGTCAACATAGTTAGCGTCGGATCGATCCAATCGTACCAACGAGACGGTATTACTAAAATATGGCGCTGCAGGATCCAGACCCGTTATTCTGCCCAACTTGAGATTAAACCTCTGTAACAAAATATTTACAAGGTTACAAAAAATGTTGGGTTCTAAATCAATATATATTTACATTATGTAAAAACACTGTTCGATTTTAATATCGCAATAAAATAATAAAAAAACTGCCTTAATTGTAATTATTTATTATCGCTTAAGTATTAATTATCTCTATACTTTCGCATGTGTTTTAAACAAGAATATCATTTATTTATTACTTTTTAGTTGCTATTTATTTCTTCACTGAAGACAATACAAAGTCTTCAGTGAAGAAATAAATAGCAACTGAAAATTAATAAATAAATGATATTCTTGTTTAAAACACATGTTTTATTAAAATTAGTTTTAAATTCAGCAAACCTTTAAATCTGGTAGCACCGCCGTTGGCGCCAGTATCTTTGAACGTGTGTGGTATTGTTACCCGACGGCCATGTCAGTTCGCACCCGCACCGCATGTTTTTTTTATAGAATAAGTATGACAAGCGATAAAAAAGCCCACCTGATAGTATGTGGATGCTGTAGCCCATAGACATCTATCCGCGATTAAGAATCAAAATGTAGATGCGTTGTTACCCCTGAGGACTACGATGGAATGCCTCGTAAGCAGTAAAAGGGGTCTCCGATTCTTTACACTCACCATACGAAACAGTATCATTGAGCTGCTTTTTTACTGCACTCGGTGAGTACTGGTATTCGGTGAGAGCGCATGGTCCATCCCCAATCGAGCCGACGCGTTTCTGCTACAACCATAACATAAGGTGCAGCATGGCTCTACCACGATAATACCATATAAGTTCATCATCATCATTACAGCCCTTCACAAGTTTACTGCTAGCCTAAGGAACGCCATAAAGCACGGTCTTGAGCTACCTGCATCCATCGACATCCTGGATATCTTACCAGATCGTCACTCCCTCCAGTGGGGGGCCGCCCTGCACTTCACCAACTGGTTCGAGAATGCCACTGTTCTTCGAGCTATGTGGCCGGTCTATTGCCACTTTATCTTACTGAACCGTCCGTTAATGTAAATTTAGTTATTAATTAAACAATACTTAGCATTCGACAATTTGATGGAATTCTTTGATGGAAAACCCAAAAACGATTTTTTGATCAATGTAAATGACATATAATATTAAAAAAACGCATCTCAGCTTGGTGAAGGTGTGAAACCAAACAAATAATTTAAAATATTATTTAAACTAATTGTAGTACTTACTAACCTTTTGCAAAGCATGACCGCAATAGCCCGCTAAATGGGCACCCAATGAGTGTCCGATAAAATGAAAATTATCTAAATTCGGTAACCTTAACACATCCTGTAAAAATAGAAATTCTTTTTTGAAAAATATACATATTAGTAATTTACAAAATCCTGAAAGAAATTTTTGGCGAGAAATGGCAATCACTTCGACACAAAATAATATTGATGATCATGATCATTCAGATTATTTAAATGACATGTTATGCGACTTAATTTACAGTTACTAAGTAAATTGTGGTGGCCAGTTACACATGGAAGGTGTAATAAAGGAGTCAGCTGAAGCGTATGATAAGAACAAACATATATTTAATTAATACTCGTAACATAGGATATTAAAGTAAACTAAACATTTCTCCAATTGTATTTTTATTTTTGCCAACATTAACTTAGTTTGTATATTTATTTTGTGAGAAGACACTGGCTCTTGAGATACAGGGACTTTATATTTATTTGTTAAAATCATAGAATACACAATAGAATGGCTGTCAACCTTATTTTGTACCGAGATTCGGCGTCGCCGGGAGCACACATACAAGCAATTATGTCGTATTATCATTTAATCACTACTACAAACCCGATTCGCTGTGTTGACAGACGGATTTTAATACATATTTATTTGTAAATAGCGTACAATTTGGCATTTTCTAAATAATTTGAAGGCGAAATTTGGAAACGATTGTAACGTCGAAACACATCTCGTGTTGACATTTATAGGTGTGAATTGACGTCTTGTGGTATTTTAGTGGCAACACGGACCACACCCTCGTTCGGTGAAATAAAGCATTATTATTATTCAACTTACAAACAAATTATGAATAAGGTGCGCAGTCATGGATCCAACAAGTCTAATATTAGCCACAGCTTGGCCGTAAGGGGGTTGTGATCCCTTCCTCCAGTCCGCTATTAAAACCGTTGCCCCTTCGTTGCCTTCTAAATTTAAAAGTGCGTCAGCCATATTTTGTATCTGCAAAATAAATGAAATCAAGTTATATGTAAAATTGATTAACTTTACAACTTAAACGCCTTAAAAATTAAACATGGCAAATTATACGTTATTAAATTTGTAAAAAAAATTTTTGCCAAATACATTTTCTCTGCGTGATAGACTCAGAAATGAGGATATCCGTAGCAAAACCAGAGTGACCGACATAGCCCAACGGATTAGTAAGCTGAAGCGGCAATGGGCCGGCCATATATCTCAAAGAACCGATAACCGATGGGGAACAAAGGTTCTCGAGTGGCAAGACATGCAGGAAGTCGATGGATGCAGGTGGCTCAAGACCGTGCTTTGTGGCATTCCTTGGGGGAGGCCTATGTTCAGCAGTGGCCCTGTGAAGGGCTGTAATAATGAATGATGATGACAATACTAATATTATAACAATTGAGCAATACATTATATAACAATTATTTGCGTGCTTTTTATCTGTAGCCATATTATGGTTGTAGCACAAATGGCCGACCCATTTGTCGACCTCGACCGGAGAAGGACTCTCACAGAATACCAGCGTAAAATAGCAGCTTAATACTGCTGTGTTTCGTATGGTGAGTGTAGAGATCCGGAGACCCTTTTACTGGAAACGAGGCATTCTGTCTTAGTCCTCAGGGGTGACAACGCATCTGAGGTTTGATTCTTAATCGAGGATAAATGTAAATGTATATGGGCCACAGCATCCACTTACCACCAGGTGGACTGTGTGCTCTTTTGTCACCCTTATTCTATAAAAAAAAAGATATAAGTACCCATATTTTATGGCCTCCTTCCAAAAACCCATGCGTGATCAAATAAAAAGGCCCCCTTGGGTCGATGTTTGCATTACGTATTTTCTCTGTATCATGTGCTTGTAACAATAATGGTATTTTTCTATTTCGTCGCGTGAAAGCTGCATACCTGTAACAAAGATTTCTTTTAAATTGAATTACGTACGATTGCTCTAGAAACTGCGTAGAATGCACATTTACTTTTAACAACTTTATAGATACAACAATAAATAATTGTTTAACAAACAACACAAGTTAAGTAATTATAGAAGAAGATCCCTAGTTTTTTTTTTTTAATAAATACCCATTGAGCTATTATGTACTACGTACTAGAGACGACACTGCATACAGCTACTCTGTTCCACTCAATTGCGGTGCATACAATACACCGTAATTTAATCAGTCAATCGCTAGGCGCTTGTAGAGTTGTCACGTGTTGTGTCGATTTAAAAAAATATATAAATGTGTAAAAATATAAATATGCCGTCGTGTGTACTTAGATATTGCAATAATAATTTAAGAAATGTCAGTAAAACCAAGGAATTACTTTTCATCGGTTAATAAGATACTTAATCAATAAAAAAGTATTACAGTTTAATAATAAAACAAATTCCTAAGACGCCATTTCGTGTCATGGAATATAGATTATGAACTTAATTTGTTCAGATGCGAAATTTCTGTGGGCACTTAAGTATAGGACGAATATATTATTAATTATTATACACATATTTTTTGTAGAAAAATATATAAGTTATCATAATTAGGCTAAATTTTTTATATTTAAATCTGCTCATTGTTCTTTTATTTTATTTTTAGGTTTCCACATCAAAGTCAAATTGGAATAAATTCGTCCATTTTTAACTCTCGTGTGCCCAGCATTTATGAACGACTCTTATTCTAATTTAAATAAATATATTTGTAAATTAAAATGTCATATTAATAAGTTTTGTTAAACATACCTTTAGTGTATTTTTTATATTTAACATAGATATCTTTTAAAATATTGAGATAAAAATGTCATTAAAATGTAATTGTTATATAATATTATATTAAATAAGCAAATTTAATATACAAAATAAATGACAAAATTTAAAAATTGTTCTCGATATGATTTACCTATTCAACGATACAATCTACCATTACCTACTGATCATTCTACCTATGTTTATTCTATGATAAAAAAAACAAACCGCGCGAAAACCGAGCAGCGCACATTTTTTGTTTGAAATAGCTATTCTAGTACGTACATACATATTACTTCAATGTAAATACCTGAGTTATTTAAAAAGAACATAGAAACATCAAGCATTATCGTATTCGTATAATATAATGGTTTAAAAAAATTTATTTCTCATTAAAAATTAACAATAATTCGCTTACTGAGAAACTAAATTTAACAAAACATACTTCTATTGAGCGTACAGTTGAATATTAAATATAATAAGTTAATAAGATAAATGTAAGATGTAGGTAGTCTTCGAATCTTGCAACAATTGACAAATTAATAATACCCACCGAGCAAACACGGATCTTGATTAGGAAATGCAATTGCCTAGAAGGGGCATCAATCAGAGCGTACGTTTATGCGTATGCATGGTAATTTATTTAAAAATGTGATTTTAATAAATTTGCTTTAAGTAATTTTTTGAAATGGGGCATACTTTTTTCTTCTTTTATATTAATCGGCAATTTATTGTACATGATGACACCTTCAAATTCAATGTTCTTCTTTACGTAAACAAGACACAAACGAACGTACAGTCCATCAAATGGTAAGTGGCTACCGCTGTCCATAAAAACCTGCAGTCGACTTCAAATAAAAGGCTATAGATGCGTTCTCTCTGAGGACTAAGATGAAATGATTCACAGCCTGTTATGGTTCTGTACAAGGTGTAAGTGTAAACACCGTTTTCACTAAAACCATAGGTAGTTGGCTTTAATATAAAAATATTTATCCCAATTTTTAAAAAAAGACGCTATTTTCTTTCATAAAATTTAAAAAAGTTTCTGTCCGATACCGTCCGTAAATTCATGTATAGGTACCCTATGCGCTCGAGTGACGTAATCACTGTAAAGATCACCGCCCGCGCTAGCTACCTACACAACATTCCAATAAAAACACAATAAACCTAAATAAATATTATATGATGATACTTTTCCTTTATACTTTCATCCTGGCTTAGGACAGGCAAAAATTGAGGAATTAAGGAAAAATTGAGATTTTACTAAAAAAATGTTATTTTTCATTAAATTTACGTTCTTTAAGTGAAAACAAACCACTGATTTCAAGGATAACGGTGTTTACACTAACAGCCTGTATATCTATACCCTTAAGACCGGAACAAAGCAGTGCAAGAATTATTTAACAGTAGAAATAGGTAAGAAGGTGATGGTACCTACACAGACTGACTCCTAGGCTGTAAATGAATCCGGCCACCTAGTTAACTAAGTTATATTCATCTATCTTCTTTTTCAACAATCCCTGTTGGTGCACTGTTTCAGAAAGGCCTCTTACTAATTTACGATGGTAAGAAGGATTTTCCGTAATGCTATTCTTGGCAAGATTTACGGTCAAGTTACCAGATGTAATTTAGCACTTTCGACGCTGCTCTCCGTCGCCGGTCTAACAGATTTTACAAGTATACGAGTATATTGTAACAGGTAGTTGTACCTTTATGTACCTATATTGTCCCCCCACCATGAAAACTTCCTAGATTTCTCAGGGCTGTCTTACAAACAGAAATACTTTTTTAATTTAATACCTACTTGCTATTAATAGCAGTATTTAATAAAAATACTTACTGATATACCGAAACGATAAGTTATCAGAAACCCACGCAAATAGACTAGCCCACTGCCCAAAGGTCAATAGACCCTTGAATATATGTACTTATTAAAGCATATATTGCAACATAAATAACAACCTTATCTACTTAGAAGATAAATACGTCACAATGCAACCGACCGTCATAAATATTTGTTATGTCTTCGGTAACAATGGATCGATGTCACGGACGAGCCCCCGAGCTTTATCTTATGCCGACTTTAATTAACTACAGTGTATGTACCTACTGAGATTTAATAACTGTACTTATTAGGTATGTTTGACGAGAAAAACGTTCCACATTAGCTTTTCATATTTGTTCGAGCAAGCTTTTTTACATCCTCTATCGTATTTTCATCCATACATAAAAATAAAATGTGTGATAGTAACTCTCCCACATTCTAATTATTTGAAAATTTTAATTTTCAAACATTATACATATAGGTAATCAAGTGTTCATTACATAGTTATGCGTCGAATAAAATTTGTTGTTGCGTCGAGAGAAAAAAATAATTATTTTGTCACAGTTATGAAAATTTCACGAACGTATACACACAGACATTCCTATTAAAACAAAAAAGTAGAATCGAATTGCCAGTGCCTGAAAACGTAGAGGTGAAATCAAATGAAATCTAGCTCAGTCTAGCTCATGAACACCTTAGATAATCATCTCTTCATCTCCTATTGACTTCCCATCACCTTCTTTATCATCAGTCCGTGAAAGTCTACAGCTGTACTCGGGCCTCTCATGTTTTATGGATGATCTGCCTTAATCGTCACGCTTGATAGGTAAATTTACTATAGCAGTACCTACCAGACGCTGCTCCCCCGTCAGTCGGGGTCAAAGAGATTTAAATATATATATATATATATATATATATATATATATATATATATATATATTACAACCTATTTAAATGTCTTTGGTCGGGGTATGTACGTTTGGCGTTAGTCATGGTATACCGCCAACTATCGGAAGCTATAAAAAATTCTGGCATTCTCCATAGTCGCCTCATACGCTCCACGGAAAGAAATCGGTTGACGGATTCTCATCATCACCACACGAATATTTTGCATATATTCATAAATTTCTATCTTCATCAAATAGTATTTATAAGTTCTTTGTTATATTTCAAGATATTTTATAAATTTATTCCGTATTATAGAAAGAAATCGGTTGACGGATTCTCATCATCACCACACGAATATTTTGCATATATTCATAAATTTCTATCTTCATCAAATAGTATTTATAAGTTCTTTGTTATATTTCAAGATATTTTATAAATTCATTCCGTATTATAATACAATAACAAATCGTAAATAGTATGTAATCACGTAAATATCGCTGAATATAATCATAAAAGCTCTTAGTCGGCAGATATATTAATGAATTCGAAAACCATGTTTCAAACATAAAAACAGATAAAGATTTTCTTATAACTGTGACAATATAAATAATTAATAGCGTAAACACGAAGCGGATCTCGCCGAGTAAACTTTGAGCCTTGTTATATCGTAGCAGGAAAACATTACGATAGCAAAATAATCATATCAAATATAAGCTTGTACATTACGAACCATTAAAATTATTGGACCACACCCACTTTTTCTTTTGCGTTGCTGTCTTTGATTAATCTATTTGACGCAAAGTGCAAGTGCATTTAAAAGATATCAGTATATTCATATACATAGATAGGTACGTTTAAATTTGTTATTAAAACAGTTCTTAGACCGCTTTATATGCAATGTGTTAAAATAAAGTGTTTTTAATCTGAAATGGAATAAATGAACACTAGTTCTGCCAGACGTGCCAAAATCATTTTCATTCATTCTCTTACAAGTCATTTTTTATTTACCACTGGTTTTAAAAAACCTCTGTCCTGTTAAGAACCAGCAACAAATCCAGCGGAACTTTTTTAAACGTGTTTCCATTTACAATAAATTTATTTTGTACAATTTTGTATGAATTTTTATAGAACCAGCATGGTGGCGATCACCTCTTTCCCAGGAGTAATTTTCATTTATATATTCATTTATATTATAATAATAGTTACCCATTTTGTACAATTTTTCTTTAATAAAACATTTAAACTTGTTTAATGACAAACTTTGTACATTTTCTGGGATTTTGTTGTAAAAGCGTAAATCCCACATTGCCTACATTGCCCCATAAATAAATTACTAATTCTGTGGAGTCTCGTAACTGTATTACAAGTTTATGTTTGTTCTAAGTGTTTAAAGTATGTACATCTTTATTCTTATGAAAGCTATCAATGTTTTATGTACATACATTACATTCTCATAAATATATTGCGATGCCAAAGTTAATATGTTTATTTGCTTAATTTTTTCTCTAAGGGATTCTTTACATTTTAAGTTATAAATCGCCCGTACGGCTCTGTTTTGCAAATCAAATATGACTTCAATGTCATTCGCATTACCCCATAGCAAGATTCCGTAAGACATTACGCTATGAAAGTAACTAAAATAAACTAATCTAGCTGTCTCAACATTGGTTAGCCTTTTTTACAGCATATGCTGCAGAACTAAGTCTGCCTCCTAATTTAATTATATGGGGGCCCCATTGAAGCTTTGCGTCAATAGTAATACCAAGAAAAACAGTGGTATCCACAATACTTAACTCTTCCCCATTTAAGAGCACATTGGTATTTCAATGTTTAACATTAGGTATTGTAGCTTTAATATGTTTTATCTTATTGTCATTTAAGAGCAAATTATTAGCGTTAAATCAATGTACTTACTAGTTTCGATAGAACATTATTTACATTGTAAAATTAATTGACTGTCGATTGAGTCTGAAAATTAAAGAGGTATCATCAGCAAATATTACTATATCGTGATTGTACCCTACAAACGTAAAAACTACAGACCGGTGACTGATGGCAGCATCAAATGTATTAGATCTACTGGCAGGCTTCTGTCACTCGTGCTACCTGCGTGAAATAATTACCTACAATCGCGAAGCGCCCAGGACGTAGTACTATTATTTATTCTGTGCTACTGGCACTGTAATTAACAATTCGTTTGCCAAGGGTGGCGATTATAAATCCTGCCTACAACGAGAGAGACCTATGCCCAGCACCTTTTAAATACTGATAAGAAGGTGAAGAAATGTGCATATTGCACTTAACCGATTGTTTTTTGTATTTAATTCAAAAATGATTAAGCATCGCATAGAAACTTCAAGTATGGTGTTTACGTTCAATGAAATTTGCTCGACACTTTTATTTAGTATTTGATTTCGATATTTCAGATAAAACACATTCAAGTCGTTCTAAAACAGATCGTTTCATTTTTAGTCTTCATTTAAAAAAGTTACCCCTACACTAAGATTTTCTCTTGTATCGTAGGGGCAGTTTACAAACATAAATTGCACAAGAACAAACATCCGGACCCGGAACAACTTTTTGTAGGCCATACAAATATTTGTTCCGTGCGGGATTCCAACCCGCGACCCCCAGCGCAGCCACTCATTGCTAAGCCACTGCGCCACGGAGTCGTCAAATAGATATAGGTAGCATTACCCTGCCTCTTCTTGCAATTTGTAAATTACACTTCTAATTATCCTGCATTTACAAAAGAAATCGATGGATACAGGTGGCTCAGGACCGTGCTTTGGGGCATTCCTTGGGGGAGGCCTATGTTCAGCAGCGGACAGCAATATTATACATAGACTGTAGTGTACGTCAGCAGTAGTGTTGTAACGTAAACCTGGTTTGAGGACATTGTTTCGGACTTTATAGGAGCCTAAAGAATGGCCCTCATCCAGTCTAGATCTGAACCCGTTGGACTAAAAATTGTGGTGTCATGGCCTATCACGACGTTACTCCGACATTGACTTTTAAGAAATCTTTATAGCTATAAATTCCCCATACAGTCAGTGCGTAAAAAAGCAATTAAAGGGTTTTATCAAAGCCAAAGGCGGTTACTGAACAACATTGTTTTAAATTAATCGCATAGACTGATAAATATGTGCCATTTTTTATTATTATTACATTGACCTTAGAAAAACATTCACATTAATGAGAAGAACTTATGGCGATAGTAGTTTGGTATGTGATAAGACTTCTTTTCTGCCGCCAATTACCAATGCTTGACTGCTGATTTCTAGTCTGGAGGCTATAGAGATCCAGTATAATTATAGGACGTGAGGTATCCCATTTCAGTCCGCATAGATGACAACGCATCTGTAGAATTATTTGTGTGAAGTTGGCTACTCCACGTCCATACAAAAACTTATAAGGTCTAATTTCTGGGAAAATTCATTTTCCCGTGTTTTCGCGAACAAAGCAACAAATTTGTCTTGCCCCGCAATATGATTATCACAATTTTATCCACAGGTATCATTTTCTCAATAGCTCAATGACAAACTTACGCTCTAGGTCTACCAAGAATTTAGACTAATACAACATTTTGTTTGCGGAGTTACGTACATTTTTATGGCGCTTTGCGTACTTTTCAACTGTGAAGTCAAAGCTTTGGTCAAAAAAAAAACGTTTAGTTTCAGAATTTTTACAGACAATCATTGTTTTATCGATATATGTACAAACCTATTTAATACTTTTTTGAATAGTTCAAAATAAAAAAATGATATCTATAATATGTGTACTTATACGTAGGTATAATTTATTTGTATTTATTATAAAAGAATGGGAATGAAAATTACCCCCACTAGATGGAGTGACACGGTAATAAATGCATGAAGTCGATAAATGAAGGTGGCTCAGGACCGTTCTTAGTAGCATTGCTTGGGGGAGGCCTATATTCAGCAGTGGACTTGTGAAGAGCTGTAACGATGACTATGATGATGATGATGATTTAAGAAAAAAAAATATAAACTGTTGGTTTCTGCCTATAACGTATCAATGTTCATACCTGAACAAAAGCCTCGTCTTACAGGCCAATAGGTTGACAACCGGAGTTTTTATTTTTCATTTTTTTAGGATCAAGGAACTACCACTTTTCTTAAATCGTTTTAAATAAAATATTTAGTTAGTCCGATCTAGGCACATAAATATAAATAACATGTTTTTATGAAATATTTATGTCAAAAACATTGAAAACATACCGCACTCCTAGAGTCTCCGGTGTGACGGGAAAGTAGTTATCAGGCCTGTTCTCTGTCCACGGATAAGCCTTCGAGAAACATCCATAAGGGCTATAGCATCGCTCCAGCTCCGCATCGTCTTATAAAGCAAATAACAAATATTATTATTCGTTAAAATCTCAATTATTAGTACAGATCGGCAAAGTTTCATTTTTTTAAATTAAAACGTGTTTTTGTATAAGCTGTAAGTACATCAAAATTTGTCATAAACAATCTGAATTATTAATTTAATAAATTAATAATAATCGGAAATACATAGAATAAAGACAAAAGAATTATAATAGAATTAAAATAATGCATTATATCGACTAATAATATGGGGCTGAGTTTTAAGCACGTGTTCATTTCATTATTACAAAAAACAACGTGGTCGACCAAACTCTTATTGCCGACTTTAGTAGTTAGTAACGACATAAAATAATCATAAGATACTAAAAAAATAAACTATTAATTCAGACAAATACTATTCAATTGAAATTATCAATGATTACATGCCAAGTGATTATTATGATGTATATTATTATATAGCAATTACGATACACAGTGCTATTGAAGCCTATAAAAAAATAAAACCAAACTAACCGTAAAAGTTGCTGGGAAAGTGAGTGACGTCCGTCGAATTTTGCTTCTCCATCAACAGCATTATAGTTTGCAGCATCAGTGTGGCACTGGTTTTGTTATACATTCTCGTTTGTGAATCACGTAAAAACTTTGAATCGAAAGAATTTTGCAATTCCAACAATTAATAAAACGTCGCGACGTTATCAACAGTTCTGTTTAATGAAATACGATCAGCGTTTGGCGCGAGCAATACAGCTGGTTACAGGCAGATCAAATGACAGTGTGATGGTAAGTGTTAGGCGTTCGTTGTTTATATATAAGCTCATATATACATACGACAAAAATTGACAATATTTTTAAAATAGCAAAAGGCGCTAGCATTCCTGCTACAAAAACAAACTAGAACAATATGAACTGGAATTACTACTCATTTGATGGCATATACACAATAATAATAGCAAAAAATATTCAACAGAATAATTTCAAATCTCATGTCCCGTATCCCGAACTATCCCGAAATATCCCGAACAAAACCTGCGCTTTACGAAAAACCCAGACACAAAATGATTATCTATATTTTATAAATAACTTAATAGATCCGCATTGCCTTTAGTTCGCAGACGTTCCGGGATTCGACGATAACAAAGGTTAGAAACGTTATCATCCTTACTTACGGTTATTTGTTAAAAGCGATTGACGCACGAACAGTCTGACCAGTGCTGTACATAATAAGTACGCACTATAGGTGTCTCGCTTATTGCAAATACAATAAATAAATACGATAGTTAAGGTCGATTGAAATACATACACACGCTTTGTTTTTCTGTTAAAATCTGTAAACAATTTAATAAGTCACATTGCTAATTACGAACGATAATAAAAAAGTAAACAAAAATATTTTAATAATCGCATCGAAGTTATAATACGTAATGAATACATAGATACTACCTAGATAGTATACTTGTAACGAATAATCAGCTATCATTCGGTATTCGGCCTATTCGACAACTTTTATCCTATTCGGTCGAATACCGAATATGTAGGTACTATTCGGTTGAATACTGAATACTTAAATATGTAGGACTTTTATTTTATTCAGATAATTGGTGAAATAAAAATATTTACTTATTTTATAATTATATTTTTTTTACTTTTATTAATTAAAGTAGTAATGTACATAATCAATTTCCATATTAGAAACATTTAAAAATAACTATCAGATATACGTCCATACACTCGAATTTTTAAAGTGGAAGATAATGGTGCAGAAAGACTAATTTTTTTTTCATTTTCAGGCAGTAGTTTACTCCTTTCTTTTCATAGACAATCGCAGCTTCAGAGAATAGACGCTCTGAAGGATAAGTATTATGTCCATCCCGGCCGCATACTTTTGCCTAATATTCGGCTATTCAACCAGAAAGTCCTCAGAACATTCGGTATTCGGCGTGTGGCCGAATATACTATTCGTCTACTAATACGTAATGAATACATAGATAATTTAATTTAAAAAAATAAATACATAAAACAATTCTACAATATCTTTCGTAATTATGAAATGTTCTATTTAAAAAACATATTCAATGAATAAATATTTTGGTTAGTTTACTACTTCAACCAATCCATCATAGATTTATTTAGATAATAGAAAACACGAACAGACATTCCCCTGCTTTAGACATTTGTTGCTATTATTTTATTACATTATACTGCTGTATGAATTTGCAGAAAACTAGTGATATATTTATTTATACTTTATTGTACTCTTTAATAAAAATGATTACATCCTGTTGGCATTTTGTCGCAGTCAACCCAGGCGTGTGGAAATGGTGTGATAGGTGTACATACGTGTTACGTATCACTTTTTTAAAGGCTATTTATTAAGTACTTTCTAACGTCCGGGCAAAGAATTTCAAAGAAGCGCAGCCCGAATGCAGAAGAATTTTCCAACAAAATTTGTGAAATGTAGTGTGATAATTAGTTGAGAAATGCAGAGTTCTATCATGCGTTGAGGGAAGATACTGAAAGTTGGCTTTGAAATAAAGAGAAGTCATTTAAGATAGAGAAGAGAACAAGGAAAATTCTAGTCACGCCTCTGTTGCCGCGACGCCTCTCTTGTTGCGAGACACAATGAGAGATATGATCATTTTTTATAGGACGATAAACGAGCATACGGCTCACCTGATGGTAATTACCGCCGCCCATTAACAACTGCAAATTTTGATTGAAATCTGAGCGACACATTTCTGCATATAATCGATAATTGTTAGTATGAGTACTTACTCGTACCAGCATAAGTTTAGTCTTAAAGGGAAGAAAAAAATTTAAGCGGTAAAGAGAACGTGAAGCACCAAAGAACTTAAGACTTCCTTTATACATATGAAAATTCAAGATTCTATCAATATGGAGACCAAGAAATTTAACAGAGGAAGAAACCGGTATGAAGCGATCAGTATAACAGACGGAAGGTACCCTCGCGGTGTCTATTCTCGCAAGCATCCTAGAGCTGCAATCATCACCTAACTTTTCATAGGCGTAACATTACACGCACATGCAGGCGCCAATCAATTCCATCAATCATGATTGGTAAACGAAGGATGGTGACTGATAGGCGTACATTACGCGCTCATGCAGGCGTCCATCACTGCACTACACGGTAAAAGTCAGTGTCAGTTTGTGACACAATGCGATTGACAAATGAAATAACAATCTCAAGTTAGTTTATGATTGGTCTATGCGCTTAGACTGACGAACGACGAACGAATATCTGTCAACCCTATGGCGTACATTACACGCTCATGCAGGCTGTCAGTTTTACAACAATCACGGTTGTGATTGACGAATAACCTACCGTGTAATGCAGTGATGGACGCCTGCATATATACTCATAGACTTATTATACTACTGCGTAATATATACCAGTGTTTTTCAACGTTTTTGAATTTTGCGAGCCCCACACAAATAAAAACCCCCTCTCCACCCAGATCAGTAATAAAACTTTGTCACTGATTTCTAAAACGATTAACGCACTATTTAATTTTCTTTCTATTCTATTCTATTGTGAACCTGCTTGACAATGAAAATTTGCATTTCTCGTTCATCTTTGTGAACATCTAAATATTTTAAACGGGAGCTTCCAAAGGAGAGAAGAAATCATTCTAAAGACGAAGGATAATATCAAATGAAATATCAAATGATTCCTAACGAAGCTTCATTTGTGGTCAGCGTCTTTACAAAATAAAGTGTACGAGTCTTTTCCTCGCGTACAAAAGATTGTCGAAGAAATAAGAAAGACTCCACATGGGGTCACTATCGTATATCTACCAGCTATACTATCGTGTATTCAACGAAATGATCTACATTATAATTATCATCTCATCTAAAACCGTTTAGTGTTTCATGGTTCTCTTCCATAGAAAATAGGATTTACCGCAACGGAGTTTCTAAGACAGAATGCAGTACCGACAAATTCATATTCCGAGACTTCCCGTGGTCAACTCTTACGTAATCCACGAAATCAAATAGGGCAATCGATTCTTAAGCCGCCACCAAAAAACAAGCAATTAGGTAAACTTCCAGCTACCCGAAAATGTCGATTTCCGAGAAGGCTATAGTGCTATAGACCACATAAGAGTATGTATCGGCAAGTTGTACAGAAGACCAAATAGCACAATCACCGCCTCGTCTTGCGTATGTGGACTGTAAGAAAACACGCGATTCCGTCGAAATTTCGGCGTTTTTTTAAATAGAATACGATGACAAATGAGCACACAATCCACGTGATGGTAAGTGGATGCTGTGGCCCATAGACATCTATTTTTATCCTTGAATAAGAATCAAAATACAGATACGTTGTCACCCGTAAGGACCAAGATGGAATGCCTCGTTTCTATTAAAAAAGGTCTCCGGTTCTCTACAGTAACCATACGAAACAGCAGCATTTAGCTGCTATTTTACGTTGGTATTCTGTGAGAGCGTAGTCTCAACCCGGTGGAGCCGACCCATTCGTGCTACAACTATAATATAGCAGTTGCGTGACTACCACGTAAATTGCCTTATTGACTTTGATTGCGTTGCTAGTTTCTTGGGCGGAATCACATTAACTGTCCGTTTATAGAAGAGCTGAGATTACAGCCTATATATGTCCCACTGCTGGGCACAGGCCTTCTCTCATTTCTGATAGGGTTTTAGGGCAAGGAAGTGTCAGCCGCGCTGCCCCAATGCGTATTGGCGTACCTCACATTTCTTCGAAATATATTTTTTCTTCTTATTTCTCATGTTTCCTCACGATATTTTCCTTCAACGTCGACCACGTGGTAAATGAGCACTTAAAATTGCAATTAAAAATTTCATTAGCGTCGGCGGGGAACAAACCTGGGTTGCTCACGTACTGCGATTGAATTTACAGCGAGCGCTAAATATCTTAGCTACCACGGCGCTCTTCAGAACAGCTGAAGTTTTTGATGCACAATAAGGCTGCGCTGTCCATCCAAGCATCTACTGTAGAAGTATAAAGCGCCTTTCGCACAAGCGCTGTTTCAATGTTTTGCGTAGTTTTTAACGTTTCAATAGATCTCACATCCACTCCTGTGTGTCTGCCTACTCACGTGGACACTTTCAGAATTTTTTTAGTCAAAACACCCAATTGCATCCAATATATTATGCAACTTAAAAGCGCTTTTTAAAGCTCCGAGTCCGTCAGTTGCACCAAATCAACCAAGCATTTGCCTTGTTCAGTCAGTCTCAATTTGTCTCGCCTAGATTCCATACACCCAACTACGAGATTAACACAGTCATTGAAATATTCGTTTCACTTACAAATGTTTTTTTACTTAACTTACTGTTAGCTTTTGATGATTATAGTTTTAATGTCAAACAACGAAAAGTGACACATAAAAATTTTGAAGTAGCAACTTTTGTATGTATTTATAATATTTTAGTAGCATATTAAAATCAGTTAAATATGTAGTCTTTCAGTCTTAAGGTTTATTTAATTTTACTTGAATCAAGTAAACACAAATCTCAAAATAAAATAATTATTTCATGTAAAACTTTATGGCAAACAAACATCTGAACATTAATTTC